GAGGATGATGTGGTCAAAATACTAATTTGCCTAATAATTCTGCACTCCCTGTATAAAATTACATCCACACAGACTGCTGAACACATTCACACACAGACTGCTGAATACATACACACCGACACACACACAGTCTGCTGCATACAACAGACTGCTGAATACATACACACAGTTCGCTAAATACACACACAGACTGATGAATAAATACAGACTGCTGAATACACACACTGCTGAATACACATACAGACACACACACACTACATTGAGGGGTGCAGTGTATGTGTTTGTGTGTATGGGAGTGAAATGTGTGTGGAGGGTGTTGTGTGTGTGTGTGTGTGGGGTTGCTGTGTGTGTGTGTGTGGTTGAGGGGGTGCTGTGTGTGGGGGGTGCTGTGGCTGTGTGAGGGGGGTGCTGTGTATGGGGAGGGTGCTGTGGCTGTGAGGGGGTGCTGTGTGTGTGTGTGTGGTGGGGGTGCTGTGTGTGTGTGTGTGTGGGGGTGCTGTGTGTGTGTGTGTGGGGGGTGCTGTGTGGGGGTGCTGTGTGTGTGTGGGGTGCTGTGTGTGTGTGTGTGTGTGTGTGTGTGTGTGTGTGTGCTGTGTGTGTGTGGGGGTGCTGTGTGTGTGTGTGTGGGGGGTGCTGTGTGTGTGTGGGGGTGCTGTGTGTGGGGGTTCGTGTGTGTGTGTGTTTGGGGGTGCTGTGGCTGTGTGGGGGTGTGCTGTGTTTGTGGGGGGGTACTGCTGCAAATATATTAATACAATCTGTACCGCCCCCTTCTTCTTACCTTTGGTAAAGGAGGGGGGGACTGTGTGTGGGGTGAGGTTCTGTGTGTGTGGAAGGGTGCGGTGTGTGTGTGTGTGGGGGGTGCTGTTTGTGGGGGGTGCCTATTCTGCATTGATGCCGACCTGCAACCTATGGCTGCGTGCCCACAGAGAGGGCCCGGCGTGCCATAGGTTCGCCATCACTGGTCTAAACCTTCCCTTATTCCTTTCTACACTCCCTTTCTTTAGTCCAAAATGCAAATAAAGATAAAATTATATATACTGTGTGTGTGTGTGTGTGTGTATATATATATATATATATATATATATATATATATTAAAAAAACAACCATATTTTCCAAAATTAAGGCCAAATTAGAGATATAAAAAAACCTTTTCAGTTATAGTACACATGTTAAAGTATATTTTAGAAATCAGTGTAAATTTTAAAACAATTTCTGAGCAGGAGATGCTCAGACATTTTTCTTTGCTATGGTTACAAAAAATATATGGCATTGGTGACAGTCTAAACAGATGTTTATAAACAAATTATATCAAGGATTAATGTTAATGTGAAATTACGGGTGCATGCCTGTCAATATCAACAATGTTAACTAACAAGGACCTACACCTATAAGTGGAGCGCTCAAACACAGATAAATCTTACCAAAACGTAGTCTCATTCAATGGTAAAATATGGGGTACATGTCAACATAAAACACAGAAAATACAATATAGTGTAGACGGTACTAAAAAATGGCTTCACAGTGATTATAATAATATTGTGTTGAATATTACACTCACATTTCAAGGAGCCTGTATATAGAAAACACTGGCTCCGTATAAAGGCTTGTGTGCTGTTATGGTAGCACCACCCTCCTACTTCGGCTTGAAGAATTTCTCAGGAGTACGAAAAAAAAAGAGAAGAAAGCAAACCAATGTGTAGACTTATGGTTATAGATGGCACAGATATGTGTTCAATAAATGGGGTGCTCACCTGGTCCTGAGCCTACGAATCCCGGCTCTAGGTATGTGGATTTTGTGCCAGTTTGAATGGGGATGGCACTACCCCTGTGAGGATTCCTTGGAGGCTCCAAAAGAAACTTGGATGAGGTATTGAATAAAAATGGTGAATTTATTAGTTTAAAATAAACATAAAAACAAAGATGATAAAAGTCCTCAAATAAAAGTCCTTTAAAAATGACCAATACGCGTTTCACTCTCAAATAGAGCTTCTTCAGTCAGCTGTAATGTTGGTCCTCTGAATCCTCCATTTTAAATGTCATCTGGGTCTTCCCCTTTAATGAGTTAAGTTAATTCTGTCCAATCAGATTCAATTTCACATAATGTGTGTGTATGTGTGTACCTTTAATAGGTTAATGATGTTGACGCCTTTATTTGTCTATTTTTTCATTGGTAGGCAGCATTGGTTGGCGGAAGTGCTTGTTTTCAACTGGGTGGTTGGAGGAAGTGACGTCATCTAATCATGTGATCGCCATCCAGCCAAGTTAAAAAAAAAACAAAAAAAAAAAGCAAATAGGGCTGCAGAATTGGAATGACAGTAAAATTGCATGATGTCAAATATTAAATTCCTAGTGATATAATATAAATGTTGGTGCATATAGACTAATATATTTACATTGTTAAAGGTGCATATAGTGCTGGTTTTTTTTGTTTTGTTTTTTTGTTTTTTTTTTCATTGGTGGGCAGCATTGGTTGGCGGAAGTACTTGTTTTCAACCAGGTGGTTGGCGGAAGTGACATCATCTAATCATGTGATCGCCATCCAGCCAAGAAAAAAAAAAAAAAGGCAAAAAGGGCTGCAGAATTGAAATGACAGTAAAATTGCATAATGTCAGATATTACATTCCCAGTGATAAAATATAATTTGTGGTGCATATAGACTAATATATTTACATTGTTAAAGGTGCATACAGTGCCGATGGTACATATATATTTATACATTGAAGGGATACAATTAATTTTAACCAGTAATTATTTTTGGTACGATGACACTTTTTACTTACAGGCATCTGGGACGGCGATGGGCACCAGGTTCGCACCCAGCTACGCCAACCTGTTCATGGCAGACTGGGAGCGCCAACACTTACAACTTAATGAGGGCTGGGTAGGGGGCCTGGTGACCTATCGCCGTTACATAGATGACCTGTTTTTTATTTGGAAGGGCACAGAAGATACGCTACAAAGTTTTTTAAATCAATTAAATAATAATGAATGGGGCATTATTTTATCAACAAATTTTAGTAAACACACGGTTACATTTTTAGATTTGGATATTTTTATTGATGATGAAAAGATCAAGACCAAGACACATTTTAAAGATGTAGATGTGAACAGCTTTATCCACACCTCAAGCTGTCACTTTTCCCCTTGGCTAAATAGTGTACCTAAATCACAACTTATACGTATAAAAAGAAATTGCACGGACAATGACACCTTCAAGGAACAAGCAGACAAATTAATTACCGACTTGTTAGATAAGGGCTATAAAAAGGAGACCCTCAACGACACTTATACACAAGTTTTAAAAATTTCACAGAGCACTTTATTACAAGAAAAAAACAAAACGCAAAATGAATGTGAGGTCAATTTACCTATTGTATGTAATTACAGCCATAACAATAAGGCATTAAGGAAAATCCTAAATAAACATTGGCCTATTTTACTTCAGGACCATGCCCTATCCCAGATTCTACCACCAAAACCCAAGATAATATTTAGGGGTGCAGCTAATTTAAACCGACTTTTGGTAAAGAACCACATTAAAAAAACTAAAACTACTACCTTCCTAAATAAAGGAAAGGGTTTTTACGGATGTGGTACTTGTCTTGCGTGTAGGAACACCAACAATAAAAAGAGACATATTAAGACTTTTAAGAACTGCAATAACAATGAGGAATTCCCTATTAAAGAACTTATAACTTGTTACTCAAACAGCGTAATATATTTATTGGAATGTCCTTGCGGTTTAAAATATGTGGGACGCACCAAACGGAATTTGCACACTAGGATTGAGGAACACACTAGAAATATAAAGAAAAAATTTGAAGGACACAGTGTATCACACCACTTCACCCTAGCCCACAATAGTGATCCCACTCAATTACTCTTTATGGGTATACAAAAGGTTAAGGGGAATTGGCGGGGAGGCGACCTTAATAAATTACTGGGACAGAGTGAGATGAGGTGGATATTCAACCTCGGGACTTTAAAGCCCCGGGGTTTGAATATAGACTTCGAACTCTGCCATTTCATTTAAATGGGTATCTCCCTTTTTTGGGGTTCAATGGAATTTATCCATTGTAATCCACTCTACTCTTTTTGTACCCTTGTTTTTCTTTTATACATTTTTCTTATTCATTTTCAATCAGTGGCATATTATTTATGCCCAAACTTATAAACATTGTGAATACCACTTAAAGAATATTGATTTAACCACCTTTTGGGAAAATACCCAATAAGGATATCTATTCCAGCACATATGTATGTAATATCACCTTTTTAATGTATAAAAATATATGTACCATCGGCACTGTATGCACCTTTAACAATGTAAATATATTAGTCTATATGCACCACAAATTATATTTTATCACTGGGAATGTAATATCTGACATTATGCAATTTTATTGTCATTTCAATTCTGCAGCCCTTTTTGCCTTTTTTTTTTTTTCTTGGCTGGATGGCGATCACATGATTAGATGATGTCACTTCCGCCAACCACCTGGTTGAAAACAAGTACTTCCGCCAACCAATGCTGCCCACCAATGAAAAAAGAAGGAAAAAAAACAAAAAAAAACAGCACTATATGCACCTTTAACAATGTAAATATATTAGTCTATATGCACCAACATTTATATTATATCACTAGGAATTTAATATTTGACATCATGCAATTTTACTGTCATTCCAATTCTGCAGCCCTATTTGTTTTTTTTTGTTTTTTTTTATTTGGCTGGATGGCGATCACATGATTAGATGACGTCACTTCCGCCAACCACCCAGTTGAAAACAAGCACTTCCGCCAACCAATGCTGCCTACCAATGAAAAAATAGACAAATAAAGGCGTCAACATCATTAACCTATTAAAGGTACACACATACACACACATTATGTGAAATTGAATCTGATTGGACAGAATGAACTTAACTCATTAAAGGGGAAGACCCAGATGACATTTAAAATGGAGGATTCAGAGGACCAACATTACAGCTGACTGAAGAAGCTCTATTTGAGAGTGAAACGCGTATTGGCCATTTTTAAAGGACTTTTATTTGAGGACTTTTATCATCTTTGTTTTTATGTTTATTTTAAACTAATAAATTCACCATTTTTATACCTCATCCAAGTTCCTTTTGGAGCCTCCAAGGAATCCTCACAGGGGTAGTGCCATCCCCATTCAAACTGGCACAAAATCCACATACCTAGAGCCGGGATTCGTAGGCTCAGGACCAGGTGAGCACCCCATTTATTGAACACATATCTGTGCCATCTATCACCATAAGTCTACACATTGGTTTGCTTTCTTCTCTTTTTTTTTCGTGTTCCTGAGAAATTCTTCAAGCCGAAGTAGGAGGGTGGTGCTACCATAACAGCACACAAGCCTTTATACGGAGCCAGTGTTTTCTATATACAGGCTCCTTGAAATGTGAGTGTAATATTCAACACAATATTATTATAATCACTGTGAAGCCATTTTTTAGTACCGTCTACACTATATTGTATTTTCTGTATTTTATGTTGACATGTACCCCATATTTTACCATTGAATGAGACTACGTTTTGGTAAGATTTATCTGTGTTTGAGCGCTCCACTTATAGGTGTAGGTCCTTGTCACTTACACCGCACCAATATCTACTAAATTTATTCAGTGGAATAGAGGATATTTCCACACTAGTGTATTGAGCTGCCTGTAAATCACTTTTTGACTCTTTTGAGCACTTTTGTTATACACACTCCTCTGTAAAAAGAGGCAACCTTTGATTGGTAAGTTAGAAGAGCACTGTTTGATGGGATCATTCATCTAAGACTCTTGACTCTGTTTGGTAGTTTGTTCATTTTCAAACTACCGAACTAGCCAAATAAATGACATCCATAGAATTCTTGAACCCCTGAACTGATCTGCGTGATTTTTATATATGTTTGTAACCCAGATCAGGGCTATCAGGGGATGTAACTGTGACGAAGTGCCCTTCGCCACTTGTGCCTGGAGAGGACTGCTTGCCCGCCTCTTGCCCTGTGACTATGGCCCCTGGGATGTATTGCCCTTTAAAGACATGATTTGGGCATAATGGATTTGTGTTGTGCTGTCGCTGGCCCTTTAAGAACCATCTGGAGACATACTGTGGAGTTACTGGGTGGCCACCATTTCCTGTATCAGAAGCACATGGTGAGAACAATGGATGGCGGCCATTTTAACTCACAGACACTGTTTGGACTTTTCAACACGGTGCCATCTCACCAGTATTTGGTGCACAGAGACATCGTGCAGTGGTTTTGGACTATACAGCAGGGGACACATTATAAAGTGATTGTTTTTCATTTAGCCTGTATATGTTCTGCAGAATCTGCATTAAACTGTATTTTCCAAAGTACTGAACGGATCTGGGTGAATTTTGGATATGTGGTTCAACCAGATCCCCCGGTTCCAAGGATATACTTTTTATGGGGTTATTGCATGTTTTGGGGTCCCTGTGTGTTTTATGAAACTGTATTATTTCTGGCCAGCAGATAATTGAGCTTTGTGTATTGTAGAAACTCAATTATCTAGCCTGGCCCAGAGGAGGAGTTTTGTGTTGCATAAATTGTGAGTTCTGTGTGCCAGTAAATTAGTCTTGTTCCAGCATTAAGCCTTGGCTCATGTTTGGGGGAAGGGATACCTACACTCTGGGGATTGCTATAATCACTTACTCCCCAGAGGAAGCTCTTGCAATAGCTTGATTTGTTCCTGTTCCTGCTCTCTGGGGAAAGAGAGGTTCACCCACTGGAAGCTGGATCCTGGCCTTGGGTCCAGGGTGGGTGGAAACAGCAGAGACCCCGGCGCAGTTGCATCGCTGGAAGTGGGGTCTGCAGTGCTGATGGTGTCGGTTGGAGTGCTTGGAGTCCTCAGCGAGCACTAGGAGCATCGATTGGCGGAGGTACTCAGTCGGAGTGCCAGCGTTCCGTCACAGTAACATATGGGGATATTATGTTTTTTGGGGTACTTTTGGGACTTTATAGAAATGTGTGTTTTTTCTGCCTGAAGATTGGGTTAATGCAGGATCTTACTCAATTATCTCCCAGGCAGAGGGGAGGGATTGTATGCTATGTGTGGGAGTGTTGTGCATTGGAATACTGTTCTTATTGGTCTGTCAATATTGTAACTCATATAAGGCCAAGTCCGGCTCCCATTAAACTGAGATTCATTTTACCCCTTCATGAAGTCTTGGCTCATGTCAAGAGATTAAAAATAAGAAAAGGGCATTTAAATCATTTAAATCGGACAAATCAGAGACATCCTATTAAAGATATAAGTAAGCCAATAATGCTTGCAAAAAGGCAATTAATGTGGCTAAACTAGAAAATGAGAAATTGATAGCCAAAGAATGCAAAACCAACCCCCAAAAATTTTTCAAGTTCATCAATTCTAAAAAAAATAAAATAAAATGACATTATAGGTACACTGGAAACAGAGATGGGTCTGTTAGCTAATGAAGACCAGGAAAAGGCAGACATTTTAAATAACAATTTGTCTTCAGTATATATTAATCCTATGGCAAGAGATTATTTATTTATAAAATATTTTACCACAAAAGATACATTAAGATTTCTCTTGTTTTCAAGTATGTCCTGGGTCCACAAACTATTGCATTGATACATTACAATAAAATACAAAAAACAATATTAATACACAATATATACAAAATTTAACATAGAACAGGTAGGAAATATGTAATCAACCATAACACATGCATTCTGTTTTGAGGTATGTAGAGAGGGATCTCTTAAAGGACTTTAGGCTTGGAGAAGATTTTAAAGTGTGCGGGAGGTCGTTCCATAATTGCGGTGCTCTGTAGGAAAAGGAGGATCGGGCCGCTTTCTTTTTGTATTGCCGTAGACTAAATAAAGTGCTAGTACAGGATCGGAGGTTATAGGAGGTGGGAACAGCCGAGGAGAGCATTCTGCTCAGGTAAGGAGGGAGCTTCCCAGAAAAGCTCTGGAAGAGATATGCAAATGATTCCTGCAAAAAACTTGCAGATAACTTGTGAATGGATAACTCGAGACAAAGTGCTACAACTGTTAAAGAAAATCAATGTAAATAAAGCTCCGGGGCCTGACTGTATTCACCCACGAGTACTTAAGGAGCTAAGTGGGGAAATCAGTGAACCTCTGTATTTAATCTTTCAAGATTCTTTTGTTTCAGGTATTGTACCGGAGGATTGGAGGATTAAAAAGGGTTCAAAATCCTTGCCTGGAAATTATAGACCTGTGAGCTTAACTTCTGTGACTGGGAAAATATTTGAAGGGCTATTAAGGGATAATATTCAGGAATTCATTGGGAAGAACTTTGTTATTAGCAATAGTCAGCATGGTTTTATGAAACATAGGTCATGTCAAACTAAACTAATTGCATTCTACGAAGAAGTAAGTAGAAGTATAGATCAGGGTGTTGCAGTGGATGTGATGTACTTGGATTTTGCTAAGGCATTTGATACAGTTCCTCACAATAGGTTAGTCTTCAAACTAAAAGAAATTGGTCTAGATTATTATTCTTGTTCTTGAGTAGAACATTGGCTTAAGGATAGAGAGCAACGAGTTGTCATTAAAGGTAAATTTTCACGCTGGACAAAAGTCGTAAGTGGTGTCCCTCAGGGTTCTGTTTTGGGACCGCTTCTATTTAACGTATTTATAAATCATCCTGAAATAGACATTGAAAGCCATGTTTCAGTGTTTGTAGATGACACAAAACTTTGTAAAGTAATAAAATGTGAGCAGGATATTGCTTTGCTGCAGAGGGATTTGGATAGATTGGGGACTGGGCACTAAAATGGCAGATTAAATTTTTTTTTTGTATTCTTTATTTTTGCTGTGCACGTAAATTGTACAGGCTGGCGCGAGATGCCCAAAAGCAGTCCTCTGGCTCTTCCCACGCTTGACATGCGGGGCACATGAATTTTTTTAAATCAGGCTTAAACATTTGGATTTAAACACATATAAATAAGTATAAGTAAGTTAGAACGGTGCTGTAATGATGTTATACGCAATCCGAGTAATGTAATTGCGTATCATTAGTAGTAACATGCTAGAAACATTAACATATGATGTAAGATATACATCGCTTCACGGTGCTAGATTAGCTATGCTTATATATATAAAGCTTATACACAATAGTGGTGCTAGACTGGTGCAATAACCACGCTATGGGTAATCCGATTAGTGTAATTGCGTATCATTAGTTATAACAGGCTAGAAACATGAACATATGTCGTAAAATAACCATCGCTTTACGGTGCTAGATTAGCTATGCTCATATATATAAAATCTATACACATTAGTGTTGCTTATCAAGGAGTTTCTGCTATTCTGTTAACATGACAGGTACAGTGCACAAGTGAACAGAACTCAATAATATATGTTTAGCATTCGAGATCAAAGCTTTGCCATTGCATAGTATGCTTAGGTGATAAGTAGACACACAATAGGTTACATTATGCCGCTAGGCCAACGGTCCCACATCAGAGCCCCTGTCTGTCGACCTAACTTGGCCTCCAGCCAAGTTAGCCGATACCCTGGCTAGGCATTCACCTTACATACGAGCAATGTCCACTGTGGTGAGCCATGCGGTTTGTCGAGAGCGAGGTACTCCCCATGCCCCAGGCTTGTTCCAGAGCCTGCACCATGTTGCCACGAACTTGGGTCCTCTTTGAGTCCAAATTCTTCCCAGCCGGGAGGTTTCAGGGGGCTTTACCACGTTGGCTTCGGCGTGTTGTTCCCTTCTGCATGTGTGGTCTGTGCTTCGGGGGTATTCCCCGGGTGGCTCTAGGCCCGGGAGGCCTTAAGGTAGCGTGGTGTGCCTTTTGTATGGTCGAGTTGCCTTTGGGGGATCCCTCTTGCCTCTTCTCGCCAAGTGTCCATTTGCTCCAGCGTGTGGCCCAGCGGGGACCGGGATGACCCCCACCGGCCCAGAGGGGGGGAAGCGAGATCCAGGCTGCTTGCAAGTCGAGCAATGGACAGGAGACCGGCTGCGTCTCCTGGCCGGCAGCTATTAGTAGGCCGCAGGGAGTGCTCCTCACCACGGGCGTATTTCGCCATCGAGTTTTCACACTGATTCGTTGCCAGCATGCTCCTGAGTCATGGTATGTCTTTGCTGGGTAAGATTTTTGGGGTAGATTGTCGTTTTTAGGCTTAGATAGGCTTTAGGGTTGAGGAGCTCTCTCACCGTGCGTCATGTTCAG